AAGCCCTGGTGCCCTCGGCACCTGCCAAGCCCGGCCTCCCTCTCGGCATCATCTCCCAGCACCCTCCCACCACGCTCAACCACGTCAGGCACACTACCTCAGGGCCTTTGCATGTGCCACCCCAGAGTGGTCTCACCCCACCCGTCTCCCAAACACCTGCCCGCTGTCATTCTCCAGGCCGTTCTGAGGAGCCCACGTGCCTGGCCCGCTGCAGCGATGGGCTAGGGGCCAGAGGTCATGCCCTCAGCCACACCTTCTCGGGGCCCTCAGAAGATGGCTGCTCAGCCCAACCCTCTGGCCACACCGGAAGACCCCAGTGAGCCCCAGGCAGTCTCGCACGCACACATGCTTGGGACCCTGAGACCCTAGCACACAGCAGAGGGACGCGGACAGGACTCTATCCCCAGGTCCTCGCCATGACTAGATGATGTGCATGTGCCGCCAAGCATGATCTGATCCTGGCCTGAGCCTGATGGCCCTGACCCCATCCCACAGCCAACAGTGCATTTCCACCTTCCCCCAGGATAGCAGAGGTTTCCAGGGATGAGGAAGCAGCATGGCAGACTGGGGTGAGGCTACAAAGGGGTGACAGGAAGTGAGACTACACAGATGGACTGTCTTGGACCTCGACTGTGGCAGTGGGGACAAGAACACAGGCAGCAGGCAGAGCTGGAGAGGACAACGTACATGTGGGAAAGCAGGTGCACCAACACCCTGGCCATGAGGCCAGCGACAGCCCTGCCAAGGGTGCCCACTGGAGACCGGCAGAGAACACGTGGGAGAGGGGGGCTGTGTGTGAGGCCTCACCGCTGCTTACATGGGCATCTACACGTTTCTCAGAAAAAATTTCAACTGAGACAAATCCAGGCTGGCTCCGTGGCACAGTGGTAATGCACTACTCAAGAGAAGCCAGATCCTGGGACCAGCAGTTGGCGTAATGGCTATGTCGCTGGACTCCCATGTTGTCAACCACGGTTTGAGTCCCAGACCCGGCGGCTTAAACTCACGACTGGCGCATGTGCGTGCCCAAAATCCCGAGAGGAGAATGAAGGAGAAGGGATTGTGGCGTGGGCGTCCGCCTGGGGGTGATTGCTCGCTTTCTGTCTCTCTGCCTCTCTCTGGCGAGCACACGTACCCTATAGCAAAAACCTCTCCAAAAAAAAAAAAGAGAGAGAGAAGCCAGATCCCATGTGTGTCCCACATGGAGGCTGGGTTCAAATCCCCAATAGTCGGCCTGAGACATGCCAGATTCCATGGAGGGGCTTTTCCCTGCACGCCCCCGTGCATGCACACGTGCT